ACAGAGGCTTCACTATTGTGTTACCTGTACTACCCACTTTTTTGTCCTATGTAAAATCCAGCCCCTTTTAATTTTATGCTTGCATAGAAGGTTAGAACTGCATTGAAATCCGCATCTGCTTAGAACTGTAAAAACAGCCATATTTAAGTTTGATATTAAACTATATCAATATATATGAAACTGTTTCTTTCTTTGTTTTTGCAGTTTAGCTATTTACCATTTCTGATTTTTAACCACTATAATCACAAATGCAATCATACGTTTAATTTTGTGCAGTAGTGTGTAGTAGTTCATCAGAAATTATTTGTCATCAGTCTGAATAACAGGACGCTACCACCAAGTTTTACATTAGAAGATGGCATTATTATTTTTGCGTACATGCATGTGTTTGGGTAAAATAAATGTTGTATTTTTGACCATAGGTTGTATTCCGTAAGTTATTTAACTCTTGCTTCTCCATCCTTGTTACAAAGAATAAAAGGTTTTATGTGTAGACTTTTCACAGTGTGATAGGCCCTCACAAACATTGGCTTTGGGTCCCATATGGCTGTATTAAGTAGGCCAGAATCGCACTGCCTTTAAAGCTGAACTCCAGCATTGCCTTGAGTTTTGCATCATTGTACATGCTACCCTCCTGTATTAACATTGCTTGCTGGCTGATTTCACTGCACACTGTGAGCTCCTCACTGTGTGCATAACAAGCTGCAGCACATCAGGGCCTACCTCATTTCTCTCTCCCCCCCCTCTCTCTCTCTCTCCCTCTCTCATCTCTATCTCTCATATCCCTTTCTCTCTCTCTCATATCCCTTTCTCACTCTCTCCCTCTCTTTTCCTCTCTTTCTCTCTTCCTCTCTTTCTCCCTCTCTCTCTCTCTTTCTCTCTTTCTCTCCGCCCCCCCTCTACTTCACCGTTTACCCAGATGACACAGGTCTTCTATTGATATGAAATCAGCCACTAGACATTTCTGTTTAATCCTTACACTTAAATCATTAGGTCTCAATCTCTATTCTATAATATTTTTCCTGTGTCCCCTGGCTTATCACATTCCTGTGTTCAGTTTTTCCTTCATGCTCCCCCTGAAGTACTAGATGAACATACTTTATGTTGTACTACATGTTGTACCTATTGCTTCTCTAAATCTCCATGTTACTACAACTTTGTAATCTTGTTCTTTGTTTTTCTAATACAAAAATATACAAGAAAGGACATCCAGCATCATCTGGTCTTTCCTCCAGGCTTACTGTCCCTGGCCCACCCCTTTCATTTTTTGGATATCATTTCTATCCATCATTAAGGTTCAGCGTTACGTGCTGGTGTTGCCTAGGGCAGACTTCATGCAAATGCAGCCGTCCTAGGAATAACTATCCCTCCAAACTGAAATCCACCAATTAAGGCATTTTAGGATTTGCAAAACTACCCCCAAAAGCCATCCCACTTCTTGCATTAGACTTGAGGCAGGATGCTGTAATGTTTTTTTGGAAAGCTATGTGTACCCTGCCACCTGAATTCCATTGAGAATCACAGATACACAGTTAGGATATCACTGGGTCTAAAATAAGGTAAGTAATAAGAAACTGGAAGGTTTTATTTAAAAATGTCATTAGTGTGTTGATATGGAGGGTAAAGGCTAAATATAAGCAGATTAAAATTCAGATTTACCTGAGGAGTGAGTTGTTCCCTGCTGCCTAGAAAAAAGTACAGCCAACTCGAGGCAAATTTCTTTATTTAATTTTTTCACTGTGAAATTAGTTTAGGGTTAGAACCTCCAACTTTTTATTACTTTGTCTACATCTGGGAACAGAAAGTGAGGGAAAATGATCCCCACAGAAATAAGAACATATTTTGCAGTAGTGTGGGGAAGATTAAGAACCTTTTATTGTGGTCTGTGTTCCCATTAAAAATATGAACAAAAAGCGCCAAATGGGACCGCTCCGCCAGAGAAAAAAAGGTGTGCAAATAAGTACAAAGTCTGTTTTAAAAAAGAGATATGTAATGGCAATTCTGCAGGACGCTGCCCCAAACTAGCTAGGGGGACTGCTAAATCTGGGGAAAAAACACAAACAAGGGGCGCCTTTTCTGATGCAGACAAATTTATTTGAGATAAAACCAATAATAGATAAGAATCATACTCACAAAGGTCCACATAAATGGAGCAATGTATGTGAATGCATAGATCAAAGAGTAAGCCAGTGACAGCTGCACAGCTGTGCCTGTGTGCCAGCAAGGTAGGCTGTGATATCGCGTTTCCGGGGTCACGCCCCCTTCATCAGGGCGAATTTCCTCATGTCCATGTAACATGGGTAAGACAGAATCAGGAAAATAATGGGGAAACTTATTAAACAATAGTCCATATTTACCTAAATAATGCTTGCAAATTATTCTGACACTGACCAATTTATCCCAAGCCATTAACTGAAGTCTGTTCTTGGAATATTTTTGGGAATAATTGGGGGTTTGGAGAAGGTAAACTTCCTTATAGCTTTTGTTCTGTTGTGGCTTCTAATTTCACCTGTCAATTTAGGCCTATTACCACTGGTTAAAAGATCAAATGTTGCATCACAAAATACCTAAAGCTATTTCTTCAAATTGTAATCTTTCAGATTGAGGTGCTGGTGATTTTGTATTTAAGCCAAGCAATAATGTAATAACAAATGTGATTCCCAATGAACAGGGTGCTATTTTCAAAATTTGTTTTTGCATCGATACATATCCCCCATGGTAGAGCCCAGCTCCCCGTGCCCTTTTTGTGACAATCCTTTATTAGCCTTGATCATGGCCAACATTGATATTTAAGATTTTCTTCCTACTACACTTCATGAAAGAATACTGTTTCATACAATGACTGCAAAATGGAGAGCTGTACTATTCTCACAGAATACAACCTAGTATTTTCTAATGAAAGGTAGGATGCGGAGTACAACATGACTCAACAATGTCTCCATCAAAGCTTTGTTCTCAGACTGACCACATTTGGTGAGAACTATGTCTAATGTGCCAAGGTTTACCCAATTGGCAGTCCTACAATCTGGACAGCTTTGCCTGATCGAACGGTATGATTTTGCTTTTTTAAGCTGGTCTTTTCTGGTAGTAAAAAAAGGGCAATGTTGTTATTGGGTTAATTAAGGAATTTGTAAATTGGGGTTGGGCTTTAAGCTAGGCAGGGAAATTACACTGGCACACTTAGAGCCAGTCAAAACTTTTTCTTGTTTGTTTTGGATATTTTGGGGAAAGTCTAAGGTCTAAGAACACCTGTCAAGCGTTTTGTTGCCGTCTATGAACCAATTGAGAATAGGTTTACCCTAATTTCCTATACTGGTAATTCAGAAGGGCTAGTGGTGGTGGGTAAACTCTTCAATAGAAGAAAAGACGTGCAAAAAACACACAATTTTAGTAGAGTGCGGAAGAGTCCAGTTCCTTCTGTGCATTTGTCCCACTGACCCAAGCTGCCCTCATTTCTTGTCCTAGTGACACAGGTGTAAAATGTGAGGGAAAATCTTCCTGATGAAGCCATACAGCAAATAAAACCCAACAGAAAGTTCTATTCCTTCACCAATCTGTAAAATGTATATTTAAAAAAACATGGTTGGAGTTGAGCTTTAACAACTATTGAGTTGTTTGGGCTTACACAATAAATCTTGTGAATATTCACTTGTTTTTCAAATGACTAGATAATTGAAGTGTGTATTCACACAATTTATTGCATTAAGATTCTCACTCTCTTTAGCAAATCAGCCATACAGTGCATTGTTTTCAATTAGCGGCTCAGCTTACAGACTTGCATTGTGTGATGAACAGTCATGCTCAACCGTGGTGCAGCACTTTTAAGCAGTAAGCCGGATGCACACATGTAATGAGCAAATATGGATGCCCCCATGTACATGTATGTGCATGTATCTACGTGTATAATTTTAAACTATACATAGTCCTTTTTTTTTCCTTCTAACATTGATAAATAAAATATCAATCTGTACTAAACGATCCTTACCTACATTGAAAAGACTATACATTTCTTTTAAGAAATGTGAATTTGTATGGACACTGATATTGTGTGTACACAGACATCAATACAGCACTTATTTAGGTGGCATAGTATTAAGGAACATTTTCCACCCACTCCCAATTAGATAAATTATTTACCTTTCTGATAGAGCTCATGTGCACAACAAATACTGGCACTCCAAAGGCAATTGACACTATTAAACATGGCATCTAAAGCCCTGCCTCTAGTTATGGCAGTTGAGATTATTTTATAAAAAAGGAATAAAACTGGTTTTATTGGTCTTCAGATTCTTGCTTCCATTGCCTGACGTGCATTAAAAAAATGACAGGTGGGGATAGTCTAAAAGACAGCAATTAATTGAACCCGTTTGCCACACATTTAAGTAGGCTCCAGTGACTCTCTTCTGCCAATGAGTAGGCTTATAAGAGACAAAGATGTCACCTTACACAGCTTATTATCTGACTTCTTCCTATAACTGATAGAGTAAGACCCCATTTACACTTGCAAGTGGGGCCAAACTCAAATGAGTCTCACAAATTCCTCTGTGAGACTCATGCCATCTTCTGCAGGCAAGAGGCGTTGTACAATACAATGACAACTGTCAAAATCTGTTTGGATATTGAGTGTATACCGGTTAATATTTTATTTTACTACTACTCAGGGCTTCATTAGAGAGATTTACCCTTGCTTTCTGTCCAGCTGGCAATGGAACTGAGGAAAATTCTCCAACAACAACCCAGGTAGAAATAAAAATTCGGTAGAGTATTTGAGTAGAGAAAGGTTAGAACACTTATTAAAGTTTTGTGTATGCCTGTGTTGCCCATTTTCCCTTTCTTCCTGTCTGGTAAAACCGTTGTCAGCAGGACAGGAAGTAAGGATAAATTGCTTTAATAGAGCCCCAGTTAGCAGTTTCAAAACTGGGAAAAAAGTTTTTGACAGAAAATGTGTGTATAATTTTTTTTTGCCAGCTCTAACTAATCAGTGCTTTCATTTCTTTTAGTACCATCTACAAGAGGGAACAATATGGAAAATGTTGTTGTGTCAGTGGAGAAGTTTACTAGCCTTCATTGCAACAATGGCATCCATCATCGCTATTCCTTTTTCTATACACTGCTTGAACACACTGACAAATCCACCACCTAACCAACTGTTTAAAGTTGTGGCAGTATGTTCTGGAGTTATTGCTGAAACCCTACTATTCAAGTAAGTATGTTAATTCACAAAATTAAAACTTTGTGATTTAGCCAAGTAATTTTTTTGGCTTTATGGATCTCACACATGGTATGGTTCTTTTTGTTGATTACAATCCCACAAATTATGACACATTCCACATTTTGCAACCAATATGAATAATTTCAGAATTGGTTGATATAATCTGGTATGTAGATTCTGGTATAATGAGTGGGTGCAAATAATGTCTCACCACTTGCAGTTGTGAGTGTTCAGAATTCTCTGTGTGTTCAATTGCTTACACAATTGTGTGGCTCCTCCTCGTAAGTAGTGATGAGCCGAACACCCCCGTGTTCGGTTCTAACTCAAACTTTCGAACATGGAAAAAGTTCTAACTTAGAACTCAATGCAGGTCTATGGGGGTAGAACTCAGAAATTTAAATGACCCCATTTTGAAGCCTTATATGCAATTTATTGGCCATAAAAAGTGTATGGGGATCCGAACTGTGAGGAGCAGTGATGGCAAAAGGCTGGAGAGTTTTACAATCCATTAACCCCTGCATATGCACTCTGAGGAACAGTGCTGTCAATAGGGCTGAAAAATTTACTGAAAGTCATTATGCCCATGCATTGCGCACTCTTTTATTTTATCTAATCCCATAATGTTCGGCGTTCGGCGAACGCTAGAACATGCAATGTTCGAGTCGAACCTATGGTCGACTCGAACATGTAGCCCATCCTTACTCGTAAGCTGTCATTTACTAATAAAGACTTCTAGGCCACAAGGGGAGTGGCAAATGCAACCAGTTCATCACAGGGAATTTTTCATCTCCTGTGTGAATATTTTAGCAGATAAAACATCACCTAATTCTCTCCACCCATCTTAAATGTGTATCTTAAAGCATCTTTGTGGTGTAGTTTTGCCAAGTTGGTTCTCCTATGATCTCAGCAGAGCCATAGTGTGGCTACCTAATGAAAGCAGTTATCCCAACCAAGTTTTTAAAGTCAGTCAGTGTAAGCTAGTAGCCTAGCAATCCCCCTGTCCATATTCTCAAAATGTATTGAATTGAATAATTACTCTCAGAACAATTAACTAATGCTAGAGAACCTTTCACTGTCTATAATGCAGAGGTTGATGCGCCCTTAGGAAGCACAGAATGAATAAAGAAAAAGCAGGAATATCCGTGAACTGCAGGTCCACATGAACAGCTTTTCTCCAGCAGACCCTCAGGAGAACAGGACCAGCAAAGTAGTGACATCACTAAAAATCATGAGACTAGCAGTCAGAGGCACAGTGCCTTAGAGTCGCACTATAGATGTGTGGCTGTATGCACAGTAGTGCCTAGGCACAGGAAGTGCACTTCTATTTTCCGGTGTAATTCAAAACAAAAGATACACATTTTAGGGTACTGCTTATCATGATAGATCATTTTTACACCGGGATACTACAGAGTTAATGCATGATGTCCAGCATCTGTTATCCAGGTCAGTGGTGGTCCACTGTGGTAGTTTTTTTTCTTCTCTTTCTCTGATTCCTTTTAAAGGGAGTAGAAGTTTAGAAAGATGCTGTATTGTGATTGTATGGCATCAAACTGTACATGTCTTTGCACGTTAAGCTAGTTTGTGCCATTAAGCAGAGTAAATGTACTGTATTTTTCTCCTCATTGTTCATTGATTTCACGGAGGCAAAAAAGGCAAATGTTTCAGCACTTTTTTCTGTTTTCATTATGAGGAAGAAATTAAACATCCCTCTAAGTTAGTACTTAAAATATCAAAGACATTGTTAAATGCCTTTGAGTCACCATACAAGTAATTCACTTGTGCAAAGCAGCTCCGTGGTAAATGAAACCGTACGAGGAAGGTTTCCAAAGCTGAATAAACACAAAATTAATTAGTCTGAAACTTCCTGATGGATCCATTTAATGAAAGCCTGTTATTGTGTCAAGCACTCAACACCATGAATTTGTTTTATTGTGTTCTATGTTGCTCGCTTTATTGAACCAACATGAAGGTTACACATAACTGTTACTGCATGAAGGCCTTCAAACTGTCTCAAGATATGACACATCAACAAAGATATTTATGAACAGATTTTTCCTGTCTCAAGTTGGTTGGGAAAACAAGTTTTCTTGCAACATTGACACAGCATGCCGCTGTCACACTGCAGCCAGGGATTCTGGGAAATGATGTGTTGACAAGCACACCACAGCTAAAGTACCCTGAAGGAATTAACCTTTCACCAAATGAGTAGTCTCTTAATTTTGTTATCCAAGACCGAGCTATGGGATTTCTATTTAAGGGACATGTCCAGAAAGAGGAAGTTTAGTTTACCTGATATGATGCTTTGTTTAGCATGTGGTTGAGCAAATTACCATTGTCATATAAAGCTTTCTTTGTTTAAATGTAACTAACATGCCAATCATTGGCTCCAGTAAACAAATGATACTTCAATATTAATTTTCTGTGCCTTCATGTACTTCTGCTTAAGTTTGCTCTGTAGTATCTCGCAGTAGGATGTAGGATTATCACAGTTTTTTTTTTAAATTGACTTTTTAATATCTGGAAAAGGTTTTGCGAGGCAGATCTTTTCTATTCCCGTGTGTCTTTTAACTAATCAAACATTACAAGGAAAACATTTGTCAGATTTGGCGTTGAATTCAGTCCTGTGTTAAAGGCAGATGGTTCACCATACAGCACCATAGTAGAATGATTAGGTTCTCAGTCACTGTAGCCAATGTTTTTATAATGTCATTAGTTATCAATTAGCATTTTAACACAAGCTGCACTTGTACATGATTGAATTTATCAATGTTTTCCAAACTTTTGACATTTGTGTATCATACTATTGCAGCCTATGCAGAGCCTGGGTATCCATCTGCATTAGAATGTACCACATGTACTACCACCCTACACTGCTCAGTACTGTTTGAGCTTTTCCAGGTTATTTCTGCTCAGATTTGTCCACATACACCTTTCTGCATATTTGTGGATTGTTTTCTTTACCTAGGAATGTATACTTCCAGTCTTATTCTTAAAATGTATCCCTAGCTAAGACTTTTATATTAGTTTTGCATCATGTGGGGAATGCTTAGAACCCCTGTCAGATTTTCTTTGCCATTTGTGTACCTGTAGAGAGATTAACCCCCTCTTTTTGTTCTGTGGCCATTGCCACTGGATTGAAGTTTAATGGGAAATCCAAAATATACGGTTGTCAGCACAAAATAATATAAGTTGAAATCTTCCAATGGTGACCCCTGTTTTCATGATAACTCTCAAAATATTTGTGCTCACATTGGAAATATTGGCAATAGGAACCTCTGTTCTGGTGAAAAAGGCCATGGATTGTAGTTTGAAGCATGTTTTAAAGTTTCAAAAATCCTGAATTACCCAGCTGTCTAGATTGCTCTGGCTCAATAAATCTAAGCCTTGCTGAAGAGGTATTGTGTTTGACCCCCAAAATACATTGACTGTAAACTCTTGATAGAATTGTTTTATGTGACCGATAAAAATTAATATCTGAAGCAATCCCTAAGGCTTGGCAGTCTCCCCATTTTTCTTCATAGGATGATTCTCCTAAGCTTTGAGCTCAGAGCTCATCCACCCCAATTCTGATAAAAACTGTGTCATTTTGGAGATAATTTCTCTCACTTCCTTCCATGTATATGCAAGTCCAAAAAATAAAACTGACAGGAGTTTTTAAAAGGAACTTTTTCTTTTCATTTTAGACAGGCGATGCTTTAAATCCACACCTTCCCTCCCTATTTCCATCCTCTGGCAATTGAGTTGTGTAGTTATTACCACCAACAAATCATTCCTGTACATAAATTCCCTGCCTCGCCAAGCATATTTTTTAACTGCCATGATTTGGATAACATCTTTTTGGAAGTTAGGACTATCTGAAGTGGGTGATATTTTTAAAGCTGTTGGGAGATATGGCAACTATCCACAATTAAAATAGTGAGATTCTACTTCCCCTCCTTAGGAAACAATGAAATCTTTATGGCTTTAATAAACTACAAGTAAAAGTAGTCCACGTGCTTACTACAGGGAATTTGTAGCATCAATAGAAAGATCACCTGATGCATAAAGTCCTTTTGCACTATTGTGATGTCAATCTAGAAAGAGGTCTCCAATGTAGACACTGTTGTCTTATATAAGAATCTGATGGTCCATTTCACTTTTAGTGGAGATTGTGGACAGTGATTATCTTTACAAGCTTGTATCTTTATATAGTGTGGAGGGGTACTAGCTCAGGTGGTCTGGTCACTATCTGTTTTTGAAGCCTCAGTCTATATACACTCCTGGATACTCTAGGTTTCTATAGCGGTCTACGACACCAACCATATACACATTCTTTAGCATTTGTTCAATACACTCTTCTTGACTTCCCTTTAAAAAGTTTAGAAAAATGTCTCTGCTGCAAAATGTTTGAACCTAGTCCATCTGAACCTGGTATTTGTTTTATGTGGTTATTAAAAATATGAATCACCGACTGTCCTATCTCTCAGGGAGTTCTTAAGTCAACATTAGACATGTGCGATTCGTTTCGTTCCGAATCGAAATTCGGACGAATTTTCGGACATTCGGACATTCGGATGTATCCGAATTCCGAATTACAGACATAACGAATGCAAACGAATCCGAATTTCCATTTCTGAAATTCGGTAGCGGTAGTTCGAACGTTCGTTTCGTATTCTGTTCTTATTCGTTTCTTCTTCGTTTCTTATTCGTTTCGTTCGTTGGAGCAAAGTGACATTAGAGAAGGAGTAAAATATTTTTTCCCCCTCAAATGTCACTTTGCTGCAAACGAACGAAACGAATAAGAAACGAATACGAAACGAATAAGAACAGAAAACGAAACGAACGTTCGAACTACCGCTACCGAATTTCGTCCAAATCCGAATTCCGAATCCGAATTGACTTTCACACCCGAATCCCGAAAAACGAAATAACACAAATCCGAATTTAAAACGAAACGAAACTAAACAAATTTTTTGTCAGTGCACATGTCTAGTCAA